GTTCCCTTTGGTCGCTGCGTCCCATGGCGCCTCGCAAACCTCGTTCTAGCTCTGGACCTGTGGCTCGCACGCCGCCGACCACAAGCGTTAAATACGTGGCAATGGCCCGATGGTCCTGTCGCCGTTTAGCTTCTTCGGCAGCAGGGTGCCGATGGTCAACGACAGCTGGTGCTGCCGGCGCTGGGCGGTCTCGCGCGCGTTCAAGATGACCGCCAGCTCGTCGAGCGCAACCATGGGAAGCCGATCCGCGTCCACCGCTGTGAGACCGTCAAGGCCCATGGCCGCGTTGGGCTAGAGCGCTCGTCCAGCCTCCTTAAGGTGAGCTCCCGTCGAGTCAGGGAGCCGCTCTTCCTGCGCTCGAGTCCGTACCTGGTCGAACAAGTCCCGCGCGACTGAGATGCTATCCTGCAGCGGAGGGCTCCAGACTGTCTCCCAATGAACCCGCTTCGCGTCCAAGATGTCCTTAGGGTGCAAGATGGCGGTGTTCTCCTTGTTAAACCCGTGCGAACAAGAGACTGCCACCTGCGTCTCCATCGACTATGTGAACTCCGCGACGACTGGTTGACTGCGCGTGCTTGGCTTTGTTTAGCAACTCGCTCACTCTGGCTCGAGGCTGCCTTCGGCCTCTCCTCGTCGCGCCCTTGTAGGCTGAGCGAGATCGACATCCGCTCGCGCCGGGAGAACTGATCACCTGGCCGTGCACGTCGACGTCCGTGCTCGGGTGATGGCTCGCGTAGACAGGCTCCCGCTGCCGCCGGCGCTGCTCGTTGCCTTTCCCCATTCTTGCGAATCCGATGTCGATGAAACTGTGAAGCCGCTGTGCGGGCGCGCGTCCGCCGCCCACTGCTGCGGCCCATCTGCGCTGCGACGCGTGTCGGCATGGCCCCAGGACATCGTCGGTGCGGAACTTGGGCGCGTCGGCTCCCGAGCGCCCAGGGGGGCCTGGGGGTGCGGGGTGGAAATGGCAATCTCACAGGTTCGCGCTTGAGCCGCGGACGTGCCGCTAATGAAATCGCAATGGCTTGAGCAGGCCCATAATGCTATGGATGCAGCAGCGGCGCCGGCAGGGGGGCGGGTCCCCGGCGGGGCGACGCCGTTGGCGCTCCCTTGTTCCTTCTGCGCTTCGTCGCCAAACTCGAGGGGCGCATCCTCTGTGGGCTCGGGGCCGCGCCGATGGCGGGGCCACTTTGTGGTCACCTCGATGGTGTTTGCTCGCGATGCCTCCTGACTAGGCGGCTCGTTTGACGCGGGGGCGCCTCGCTGGAACTCGACGGCCGACGATGGCGTCGCCCTGGGCTTCGAGTCAGGCGTTGTGGGTTGAGGGCTCCTTATCTGACTGTCCGACTGATTCGCGAGAGAGGATTCGACCGAAGTTGGGCTCGTTGGCCCAGGGGTCGTCCACGTCCGACTCGATGCCCAAGGCGCCATCGCCACAGCTTTGCCAGTGCCTGTTTCGGCGCCGCTGGGGGAGGTCTGGGTGGGGGCGAACGACGCGACGGCGCCGCTGCTACCCTCGTCCGCGTTGGGTGGGGCAGGAAACCGCCCGCGATTTGTTTCGCGCCTGCGTGAGCGCGCCGCGCCCCTGCAAATCCTACGTTGTGCTTGGGCAGTGCTACTCTTAGAGCCCTCGGCAGGCTGCTTCCCGGGCCGGGGGGCCGTGGGCAACCGAGCTGGCGGGTCCAAGTATCGAGTGCGCAGCTGAATCCTGAGACCCCTGGGCGACCCACTCAAGCGACAATCCGACATGAGGCTTCCATGGGGGCATCCAAAGGCAGTGGCGCTACGAATGTGTGGGTTAGCCGCGTCCGAGCAAATCGCATAATCAGGATGCGAAGGCTGTGCCCACTATTGGCAGGCGTGCATGTGGGCTCGACGTCTGGCCGGGGGATGGTGCCCCCGACCATCCTGCAAAATCCTGTTCTGGACATCTCGAACGGCGGAATGTTCCAATCCTCTGTCGCGATCCAGGGTATCTGCAACGTGGTGAGGTGGCTTCCAGTGCGTCGCAATCGCGCTGAATTCGACCGACCAAGACCTACGCTTGAATGGCCATGCGCACTGCGCAGAATGATGGAACAGCCTCATGTGCAACTGACAAGGTTAGAGTCAGTCGAACATGGGCCCTCTATCTGCTCTTATTCCTTACGCAGCTCTGGCCGCGTCCAGGGCCTGAGTGAGACGATGGCTCTCGACTGGCAACCGGTCTCCCCCCATCGTTGGCCCGCTCCTCCTGTGAGGAGCAAGCCCACCTCGACTTAGGCCTAGCGCCTCTGGCAAAACAACTTCAGGGCTCGGCCGCGCGCCCTAGACGCCCACTCTGGAGCGTCGCTGCCGCGCGCATTTGGGTTTACCACCGCCAAATAATCGTGCGACTTGGACTGAACACGCGCACCCCCGGGCGTTGTCGCCCATGCAAGTCGCGTTCCCGCGAGAGACTCTCGCGTTGCGGAAGACGCAGTCGGACTTCTCGTGGTCAGTGATGAAATCGAGGAGGCCGTGCTGATACTGGGGGGCGAGGCGGAGTCCACCTTGTGCAACTGACCTCCTTGACTGGGGCCGAGTTGCAGCTCGCTGTCGTCGGGCTGGTCGCCGACGGCCGTCTCCTCGGCCGCCTCGCCGCTGGCCGTGCCCTCGCGCCGCCGCGCGAATGGCCTGCGCTCGCGGTGCCGCCCTTCCGCTGGCGACGGCTGCAGCCGCGGCGAAGCGGGCTGCCGACAACCTGGCAACCTCCTTCGTCAACATCTCCTCGTCGCCGTCGGCGTTGTCACTGGGCAGCGTGACCCCGCTGCGCTCGCCCTTGGACTCGACCTGGGTAAAAGGCTTTAGCCATCTTGGCCTAGGGCCCGTTTTCCGTCTCCATCTCCGCGTCCTTCTTCTCGTTGCTGTCGACGCACTTCCTCTTCTTGATCATGCTCTCGGTCACCTCTCGCCCCACCTGCGCGACCCTGTCCAGGAAGGCTTTCAGCTCGCTTTCTTTCAGGTTGAACGCCTTCATTGTAGTCCTCAAGCTGGGACTTGAGAGTGCGGAGCTGCTGCTTGTCGGTCTCGTCGCACTCCCGCTCTTCGAACTCGTCGAACACCGCGCTGCTGATGCGCAGCTCGAAGGCCGGGCTTGATGTGCTGCTGTTGGTGTCCTTCTCCGTTATCTTCACGTCCGTTGGGATCCCCCCTGCCCGTGCCAGCGTCGTGGCGGCCGTCTTCTTGGCCTGCTCTGCGCGCGCCGGCTTGAGCGAGGCGGCCCTCTCCTTATTCTCAACGTTTTGCAACTGCGAGCGCAAACGGAGGACCTGCGTGACGAGTTGCTCGTTACGGTGCGCTGCCGCGCGCCACGCGCAGTCCGCCTGGCGAACGATCTCGGTCGCCGACTTGGCCGCCTCCATCACGCTGCACTCCGCCAGCTTCTGACTCTGCGCCTTGAGCGCCTCCTTCATCTCGACGGTGTTGGCGGCATCCACGGCCTAGTCCAGGAGCTTGGCGAGGTTCTGCTTCACCGCCCTCTCCTTGGACGCCGCCCTCCGCGATGCGCGTGAGCGTCCAATATCCTGCTTGGGGTTGGTGCTCATGTCTGCGTCAATGATGTCGATCCGAGTATCGATAGATACGCTCTTGTTGCTGCCTGCAGGTGTTGCCGAGCGTGGGCGAAAGAGACCGACTTTCTTCCCGCAGCGACTGTACTTACAATTATTCTTCTCGACTCACGCCGCTTGCACGCTGCACAGTGACTCCAAGGGCGTGTGATCCCCATGACTGAGTTATCTCCATCTTTTGTCGTCTCCTCGCCTGTGGGCAATCGGCTCGGGGGAAGTTACTCAAACACCTCGGTAAGGTACAGGATCGAGCTCGTGTGCAAAATGCTCTCGAACCCAAGTGGCTTGAGGAACGAGGAGGGGGAGGAGGAGGAGGAGGAGGAGGAGGAGGAGGAGGAGGAGGAGGAGGAGGAGGAGGAGGAGGAGGAGGAGGAGGAATAGGAGGAGAAGCCTCCATCCAGTCCGGCGGGATGCCGCTCGGCGGCCTGGGGAGGGCGCCAACGATGCGCCTATACCGATCCTGGGCCCAGGAACGGCCTTGCAGGGTTGGTGTAGGCGTATGGCTTCGGAGTTTGCCTGAGGTGATCTTGGTCCCAAATTCCCCCACAACTCTTCTCGCCGTTTTGGAAGCCCTGAGGCCCCACGGGCCTCGCGAGTGACGCTAGATGCCAATTGGGCCTGCCTGAGAACGCTGGAGCCTCCCCGGGCCAGGGCCACCTCTATCACACACACAATCATCTCGGCATGAGGCAAGGGTTCCCGCCGGAAGCGGGCCCCCGACCTCGGGACTTTCGAAAGGACATTTCTTTCGCCTGAGCCATTTTTGACGGTCCTGGGGCCCAAATGGGCCCCGAAGATCCCGAGATCGGCGAAAAACCTCTGGGCCCCCTCTCCTCCACGATTCCTTCTCTTCGGGTGGGCGTCGGCAGAAAACCCGAAAGGAATCCAGCCGCGGCGACGAAGAGACTCCCGTGTACCCCAAAAGGACGAACCGATCAAAAAAGACACTGGCGATGGTTGGCGGGCTCTGGAAACCCTGAGCAACCCAGAGATGTCATCTTTTGAAGGGCTGAGTTTTGCTTCCGCCAGCTTTCCGCCGACGGAGGCGGCCTGGCTTTGCTTCCGCCTCCCTCCGCCGAGGAAGAGGCATCGCCCTCTCGATTCTTCGAAGGCGAGGCCCTCTTTGGAACGCCACAGTTGGCGCCCTCCCATGCCTCGGGAGGGGCGCCCAGAATTCGGGCCCGCCGTGGCGCTCGGCGTCGAAGCGCCGGCGCGAGGGCGACGCCGAGGAAGAGCCGGCCGCGGGCGTCCAGGGCCCGCCTCCGCTCGACCGGCTGGTCTCCGCGCCATCGTCCTGGTGCTGAGGCCCTCCGCGTCGTCGTTGCCGCCGTCGCTGCCGTTGTCGTTGCAGCCGCCGTCGTCGACGTCAGCGTCGTCGCCGTCGCCGTCGCCGCCCCCGTCGTCGTCGGAGGCTCCTGGGTGAAATGCTTCACGACGCTCGCGATCGCCTCCTATGGCGGGGGACGCTCTGCGACGGGGAAAGGGCGGAATGCGAAGACACGGCCCCGAGATCTCTGGCGGGAAGGATGGAACCGCCTCCATTCCTTCTCCTTATCAATAACTTCTCCCTGTAACACGCCGAAGCCAGTTTTTAAGGCGAGCCAGGCGTCTCGCCTGAGACTTCCTCACCACTCATGACTCTGAAGCTTAAAAGGTGACAGCAGTTTCACAGATCGAGGGCGGGTCGTTTTCAAAATGTGGCTCTCGCCTGAGCGCCGCGCACATGTGCTCTAAAACTCTGCAAGAGTTTCACGGATTGAGGGCGGGTCGTTTTCAAAATGTGGCTCTCGCCTCAGCGCCTCGCACATTCGTTCTAGAACTCTGCAAGAGTTTACTGATTGAGGGCGGGTCGTTTTCAAACTGTGACTCTCGCCTTAGCGCCGCGCACATTCGTTTTGAACATTTGCAAGAATTTCACGGATTGAAGGCGGGCCGTTTTCAAAATATGGCTCTCGCTTTAGCGCCGCACACATTCGTTTCAACAAATTTCGAAAAAACGGATTGAGGGCGGCGGGTCATTTTCAAAATGTGGCTCTCGCTTTGGCGCCGCGCGCATTATTTCTTGAAGTTTGCAAAAGAGTTTCACGGATTGAGGGCGGGCCGTTTTCAAAATGTGGCTCTCGCTTTGGCGCCGCGCGCATTCGTTCTAACAAATTGCAAAAGGAAAAAAAACGGGATTGATGGCGGGTCTTTTTCAAAATGTGGCTCTCGCTTTAGCGCCGCGCACATTCACTCTTAACATTTGCAAGGGAGTTTCACCGATTGATGGCGGGTCGTTTTCAAAATGTGGCTCTCGCATTGGCGCCGCGCCTATTCGTTCTGAAAAATTGCAAAAATTTCACGGATTGAGGGCGGGTCGTTTTCAAAATGTGGCTCTCGCTCGAGCGCCGCGCACATTCGTTGAAACAATTTGCAAGAGCTTCACTGATTGAGGGCGATTCCTTTTCAAAATGTGGCTCTCGCCTCAATGCCGCGCACATTCGTTTTCAAATTTGCAGGAGCTGCACGGAGCTGCACGTACCAGAAAGGATGTTTTGGAAAGATTCAAGATTATGCGGGTGCAACAATTCTTTTGATTCACGGTGTTGAAATCCCAAGAATGGCGTTCTGGCACGATTCCAGATCGTCAAGACGCAACAGTCAGGTTGATACGTGGCGTTGAAATCCAGAGAACAACGTGCTGGCATGCTTCAGGATCTTCAAACGGTTGTCTTCCAGCGAGGCAGTTCCCTCAATGGAAAGTTGTGGGGGTCTATGAAGAGAGAGCTTGGAAGGAGGGTTAACTCCAACATCATTGATGACTCATGAGTTTACACTGGTCCCCCTCCTCCCCCTCCCCTTCCCCCTCCTCCTCCTCCTCCTCCTCCTCCTCCTCCTCCTCCTCCTCGTAATTGATTCATCCATTCCTTTACGAATCGAGGGCACGGAGGTTGAAGCTCAGACGGAAAAAAAAAAACGAGAGGGCTGAGCGACCGCTCCGCACAACAACGATGACTTGGGGAAACCACACCACCGCAGACAACCCGAGCCACGAAGCCTGGTTACAGTCTGGTCGCGTCAGGAACAAATCGGGGATGAAAGGGGGACATTGGGGATCGCGGACAGACCCAGCCTGCCACCAGAGATTCGGACGTCGTCGCAACAGACCAGCCGTCCTCCTGCTGCTGTTGCTGCTGCTGCTGCTCCTCCTCTTCCTCCTCCTCCCAGTCCCCTCCTCCTCGATCGTCCTCGTTCTTTTTGCCTCGCCGTCGTCCTGGCCCTCCCCCTTTTTTTCCTCTTCCTATTCATCCTCCTCCTTGCCTCCTTTCTTCGCCCCCGTCGTCGTCGTCGCCGTAATCGTTTCTTTTTCTCCTCGTCGCCGTCCTCCTCTTCCTTCTCCTCGTCGTCGTCGTCGTCGTCCTCCTCCTCCTCCTCCTCATCTTCCTCCTCCTCCTCGGTCGCTCATCCTCGACGCGTGCCGTTTGAACCCTAACGGCGCTCCAGGGCGCGTTTGCAGAGACTTCAGGAGGGGGACCAGGAGATAAGGGGACGGAGGGGAGTGCCTGGCCGACGCGCCCGCCCTCCCCCCTTCCCCGCAGGTCCGAGGAGATCGCTGCAGCCCTCCTCTCGCTCCTCTCTCCCTCTTGACGTCGAGAGCACGCGCGCTAATCGCGGCCAGCGATACGAACAAGCGACCAACCTCCGCCTCTTCTTCCCTTTCCTCTTCTCCCCTTCCCACTGCTCCTCCTCCTCCTACGCCCTCTGCTCCTCCTCATCTTCTTCACCGCCCCATCCTCCCACTCCTCCCTCCTCCTTCCTATACCTACCCCCTTCGTTTCCTCCGAACCGCTTGACGACGCCGCTCGGTCGCGGCGCCGCGGCCACCTGGGCCGCTTGACGCGGCCTGCTCAGACCGTGGGCGGCAGCCGAGTGCGTGCCGTGCGAATCCCCCCCCCCAAGGCCGAGGGCGTGGAGGGTGACGCCCGACGCTTCGCGGGAGGCGCCCGCCCGTTACCAGGGGGTGGCAGGCCAGGGGCCGGGCGGGCAGGGAGGGCCAGGGGTAAGGCAGAAGGCCAAGGAGGGACGGCGAGGGCAAGGAAGGCCAGAAGGGGGAGGCAAGGTCCAGCCGCAGGGGCCAGGGCGGGGCCGAGGTCCCAGGGCGCAGGGCGAGGCCAGGGGCCCAGGGGGCCGCAAGGGCCCTCCAGGGGGCCGGGGGGAACTGCGCCTGTCCGCCCTGGCTTGGCCTGACTTGAAGTGCTGCCTCGAAGCGGCGTGGCCTCCTGCGGCGAAAGGCCCGCGGCCGGTGCGGGAGGCCGGCCGCGGGCCCCAAGGGAGCGCGGTGGCGGCTGGGGCTGCCGCTGGGGCGCCTGTGCGGCCCTTCCGCAGACGCTGAAGAGGTGGGCCGCCGTGTCCTGCGACTGGCCGCAGAAGCGGCACGGCCCCGCGGCCCCCGCCTCCTCGCAGGCGAACGCGCCCTGCAAGCACACGCGAATCCTCGCGCGCACCTTCGGAAGTGAGGCGCCGGCGACGTTGCGCTCCAGCGTCGTGTGGCCCGCGCCCGCTCCGTGCGCGACCGCCTCCTGCTGCGCCAAGCTCGCCAGCCAGGCCTGCTCCTGGCGATTCGCCGCCGCCCTCAAGTGGTCGCGATGCCGGGCGCGGGCGCCGCTCCCACCTGCAGCCCCAGCGGGTCAGGTAGGCACCACCGTTGCAAGAGCCGCCGGACTTGCTGCGTCGAGGAACCCTCTGCCTGCTCCGCCAGTGTGAGGACGCGCTTGGCCCCAGCGCTCCTCCGCTCCCTCCTTCTCCTCCTCTTCCAGCAGCCTGCCGCGCAACGGCAGAAGCTGTCTGCTTTGGGTGGTCCCGAGAAGAAACAGCGCCATTTTGTAACGCGTCTCTTGCTTTTGCCATCCTTCAGAACCATGGGGTTTAGAAGCATCCGGCATCTTAGTCGAGAAAGGAATCCCCCCCCCTCCTTTTCCTCCTGTGTAGACCCAATGCTGCGCCGCGGGGTCGTACTACAATGATAACGGCGAGGTTGTATGTCAGCAGTGATACAGCAAAGATATTAATGATGTCCGCAATGGGTGGCGAAAGATGGTTGCTTAGCGGAACCTACAAATGTACATCCCGATACGCCCAAGCTCGACGGCCCTGGAAAGGATTGGGCCCAAATGAGCACGGCAAAGGTCAGCGCATTAGCATGCGTGCTTACAGATCAGCGCCGGCACTATTTATTTCACACTCGTGCAGAATTCTGATGAACTGCGCATCTGCCGGCATATATCTTTTTGATTAGAAAATCGTGGCGCGCTTGAAGAATGAGCCGGCACAACTGGGATGTGCCTTGTACTCTCTGGCCTGGTCCGTCGGCTCCTGATGCTGCAGTGCGAGGCGAGAGTCTCGCAGCCCTGCCCTGATGGCGCTGCTGTCCGATCGCTTGGTGAACTGATCACCGAGCTGCTCCGTAGGAACCCATGAGAGAGTCAGCTGGCTGCGCTGATCGTCGGCAACGAATTGGTTGCTGACCTCTTCCTCGATGAGGCTCCTTGAGGTCTACTAGGTCTAACAAAAGGCGCCGCTCTGACGGGGGCTTGAAGTGATCGTCTTTGTGCATCGTATCGTGCAAGCTAGCGCAATCTGTGACCTGAGCAAGCGGCAACAAACTCGGCGGGGCGCCCTCAGGATGGGCATCTGGTATCTCCAGCGAAGCGAAAACACAACGTGTAATCTGAGCACAACCTAGAGCGTCCACCGCTGATGTCGTCTCAGCTCCAGAGTAGCCCAGCCAACTCGCTTGACGGTGCCCGATCTCCAATCTACGATACCTGCTCGACCTCGATCTCCACGTGGCAACTTAGCTTCTGCGAGGGGCGTCGCGTAGCCGGCCTGCGAGCGCTTGATGGGCCCCCCCGTCTTGTGGCGTCGAGCCCCATGCTCGCGCATGTCGCGCCTTGCCAGGCGCGCGCGCTCGTCGGCCAATAGCTGCCTCAGTCCGTGCTGTGCCCAGATCCGGCTGGCGGTTAGGTTCTCGATCATGGCCATGTCGCCAGAGTCGAGCTGATATTGAAAAAGGTCGCGGGCCAGAAGGATGAATGGCCGCTCTGCCCGCCAGTGTCGCCGTGGCGCTTGCTTGCCCTGCCGTGCCAGTCGCGCGCTGGGGGAATGGCGTGAGGGGTCTGGACAGCCACTGCGCGGTGAGCACCGTCTGAAAGGCGAGGGCGCTCAGCAGGCCCGTGACCTGGTAGGGGGGGCCAACGACTCGCAGGTCGCCCTGTCGATCTCGCCCTCCTTCGCGAAGCCTGTATCGCCGATGTCCATCTCGTGCTCCTCGAGAAGTCGCCCGCGGCGGTGCCCCGCCCAAATGCTCATGGAGTTGGCCGCTCGCTCATGCCGGCGACTCGTCGTCCAGCACCACCTCCTCGGCCACCCCCGCTTCGATGGTGGCCTCGGCCTTCTCCTGCGGGGGCGGCTTGGCTCCGTGTGCCTTCGCCCACCTGGCGAAGCGCGCCAAAAACGGGCTTGCTCGCCCCTTGTCCAGCGCCAGGACCGCCCGCTGTGCGTGCCCCGTGTGGTTCTTGATCACCCAGCGGTAGTCGGCAGTCGGTTACTTGCCGGAGCGCATCTTGTCGCCCCCCTTGATCTGTGAGCTCGGCTGAGCCACCGAACTCGAGGCGCTGCTGGCGGCGTCCTCGACCCGCCAGCCCATCGGGCGCTGCCGCAGCTCCGGCGCCGTCGTCCTCGGGTCGTACTCGATGTTCTTCCTTGCACATCCCGCCTAAACCTGGGATGTAGCCCTGCGCCTTGTTGTCGTGCCCCTCGGCCCTCAGCGTGCGCAGGATCGCTCGAAGTTGATCGCGCGTGGCGCCGCGGGCATCCAATTCGTGGCCTGCCACTTCCACCTGAAACTCCTGCATCCGCGTGCTGGCAATCGCTGGCGGACAGAATGTACTCGGCAAAAGCGCACTCGAATCGCTGGTCTCCCGGCTCGTCGCCCTGGGAGATGTCGTGCATCACTGGCGCGCCGGGGGCATGTGCACCAGCCGCTGGATCGTGAAAAGCTGCGGTGGCTGGATCTGCCACGGCGCGCGTCGTGCTCGCTGGTGGGGCCAGAACGGAACTTGAGCCGGATGGCTGCGGTGATGATGCCGTTTGATAACTGCGTGCTGATGGCTGCTCTCGTTGCTCGCTACCGCTTGCTTGCGAAATCGAACGTCCCGGCTTCAGGCTGAGGCTCTATCTAGCTCCATGTAGCCTATGATCTGTTTGCGTGAGCCTTGCTACGATGGACGACGTTGGAACGACTCCCCATGCTTCATCTTCTGATCCTGACGGTGCTCGACGCGATGGCAAGTAGGCGCGCGTGGCCTGGCGCACCTGCTGCTCGAACAGTTAGTTCGGCGCTGTCGAGCTCGCTGCAGTCAGTCTCCGATTGAGACTCGTCAGCCTCCGAGGCGTCGACCCCTTGGTCGCAGCGCTCGAGCGCCGCCGGCTGCGCGGGGCGGGCCGCTGCCGTCTCAGCGTGGTAGGTCGCAAAAGGATGCAGGCGGATCTCGGTCTTGGTATCCGAGACGTCCTGAACGGGCTTGCAACTTGAGGTGGGGCCTGTAACTTCCAGCGTCGGATGTCTAGCGCGACTCGGGCCCATCTGGATGTCGCGCGCGTTCATCGCCTTGATGTCAGTCTTATTGTCCCCGGCGTGGTAGACGATGTCCAGCTCGCTCTGGGCCTGGCGGCTGAACAGTCCAGGCACGGCGCCGCGCGCGATGCTCACGCGGGCGGTGAACGCTTTGCCGTTCACCGAGCAGGGGGTTAGCGCCAAACGGAACGGCTCCTTCTCAAGGTACTCGATGGGGCAGATGGTAAAGACCGCCAGCTTCATCCTGATGTCGCCGTGCCAATCCGGATCCCCAGCGCCCTGCGAACGGGCTGTGTCGAAGGTCAGCTTGCCTCCTGACTCACGAAGTAGCTCTTCGCCGCGAATGTAGATGAGCGCCGAGCCCGTCGCTGCCATGACGCACTGAGTGTCCTTGTTAATGTGGGAGTGGGCGGCGGTCACCTCCTCGGGAATCCTGGTGGCCTGGCGCAGCGTCTTCTGGTCGATCGCCTGCAGCGTGCTCTGTTTGCCGGCTCTCGCCGCGCCCGCCTGTTCCTGCTGGTAGACCGCCGCGACTGTCATCTCTGCCACGCGGGGCTCCTGCGCGTCGCCGGCCCCGTCGTGCGTGGCGAGGTTCGCCGTGTGGCTTCCCTTGCGAGGGATGTCCTGCATCGCGTTGGGGCCATTCTTTTCTGGTCGCTGCGAGTCACCGCGCCAGTGGCCTTTCTGGCCGCAAGCTCCGCAGTGCGTCCTTGCCTTCATCTCCGTGATCCTGGCGTCGTCCTTCTCCTGCGGAGGCCCGCCGTCTCGCTTGGCGAAGTAGCCGCGCGCCTGCTTTGCCTCTTTGAGCTTGTCCCTGGCGCGGGCCATCCGCTACCTGCTCCTCCGCGTCATCGATCGGGTCCTGCAACTCGTCTGGCAAGTCGTCGTCGAATTCGTCGGAGCTGTGTGGCGAGGCACCGTCGAATCTGTCCTCGGCCCTACGCTCGTCGTCGTAGGCCTCCGTGGCGTACGCCTTCATGTGGTCCTTCTTGTGACCTCCGTAGCCTCTCTTTTCGTGGCGGTCCCAGTTGCCATCCACGACCGAAACCTTGGGCAGGTTGATCACGGGCTGCTCTTGGATCCTCGTAAGATTGAACGTGTTGCCAAACGCATTGAGCACGCTGGCCGCGCGCTCAGGTGGCAGCCTGGCTTCTTTGATGTAGAGGTCGGCCAAGACTTCATCGGGGACCTGGATCCCCTTGGCCGGTGGTTTCGTGGCGATGCCGTTGAAGCGATTGTTGAAGTCGCGAGTCTCTTCGAACTTGTGCTGGGCTTAAGCTGGCTTCGCGAAAGTCCCCGGTAGTGCTGGGGTCTCCAGCACTTCGAGATCGGGAAAATGCTCCCCGAGGTAGGCTAGGACAACCTCAGCCGAATCGTCGCCCTTGATGGTCTCCAGGTCGAGCTCCTCGCGCGCCTCTTCGGCCTTGCCCTTGAGGCTCGCCAAAAGCGTCGCTCCCAGATTGAGGGGCTTGACCTCGGTGCCGATCTGCCAGGTTGCGACCTCCTCGCGGAACTTCTTCATTGTCTTGCTCGTGCAGTCGAAGATGGGAACTGGGATCTTGCCCCCGGCGTTCTTGCCCTCACCGCTGGCTGCAGCGGCTCCTCCAGTAGTCGCCATGCTGGTGGCGAGAAGCGTAAGAGGTATCAGTCGCAATCGCGAGTTTGTGTAGTGCTTAGTATGGACTCTGCGAAGTCACGCACGTTGCCGTGGTCAAGCTAGCTCCGCTACCAATGTAGACCCAATGCTGCGAAACGAGGTCGTGGTGCAATGCCAACCACAAAGTTGCATATCAGCAGTGGTACAACAATGATACCACGAATATCAGCAATGGATGGCGAAAGGTGGTTGCTTAGCGGAACCTGCAAAGGTACCTCCGGATACGCCCAAACTCAAAAGCCCCGAAAAAAGATTGAGCCCAAATGGACGCGGAAAAGGTCAGCACATTAGCATACATGCTTACAGGTCAGCGCTGGTACTGTTTATTTCCAATCCGTCATCCCTCTTCCTCGTAAGTAGCTCACCCCTGTCGCACCACCAAACGTGTCTGCTGGCCTGGCTGGGTTTTTCGCTGCAGGCTTCCTTGCAATTTGCTGTCCTGGAGCAACTCCAACAGCTATAAGAATGGAAGGCTGGCCCTGACAAGTGCAAGGGTGGAGGGCCGCCACTTTTCGAAATGCGGCTCTCGCCCTCGCGCCGAACGCAGTCGTTTCAACAGTGCCTATCAGTTATAAGAATGGAGTCGTGTTCGTTTTCGACATGCGGCTGTCGCTGGTGATTTCTTCGAACTCGACGGCCCGAAGCTTCGCGTCGGGCAGCGCGTGGGCGGATGTAGGGCGGTTCCTTTTCAAATGGGCCTCTCGCGTGAGACTTCCGCGCGTTCGAGGACCAGAAATTAGAAGTTTTGCAACGCCTGCGCGTGTGGAGGGTACTTCCGTTTCAAAACGGGCTATGGCCCGATCACTTCTTGAATATTATCGCCTTTTCTAACCCAGTGGTCCGCAGGATCTGTTTTTTAGATCCGTGGTTTGTGGTGGTCAGGATTTATTTTGAGACGTTTTCACTATTCAGATCTATTTTACGTATTCAGATCTATTTTATGAGTTGTAGAGAATTATGCCAGCATTGCGAACATAGATCGGACGTTGCAAAGTAGATCCGTCATGTGTTTCATCATCATATTCGCACACTGGCGCTTAATATTTCGAGCATGTGCGTCAGCGTTAGCATTTCTGGGGGTGCCAAGGTGGTGGGATGGTAGCGGCAGCAACTGGGCGCCCGAGAGGGGCAGATGAAGCGGGGGAGGGAGAACGGGAAGATGATGATGATGATGATGAAGCGCCTTGAAAGGTCGGTCCTCCCATGACACAAACCTGAGAAGCCACCAATGCGCCAAATGCGTAAGGTAGAGAGAGAAAGAAGGCGAAGAAGCAGGAAAGAATAGAAGCGGAGAATAGGTAAAGCCCAACCCAGGATTGAAACCCAGGATACTGAAAGAAAACATAAATGAAAGACTGTCCAAGATCCCAAATAAATCCCACCACTAGGTTCCTCTTGTGTTGAAAGAAGATAGAGAAACAGAAGAGAAGGGATGCCCAAATTTGACTAACAAGATCTTGAGTGACAATTGGGTCCCAACTTTGAAAGCACATGGTCCCAAGGTCTAAAGTAAGAGGTGAAGAAAACTTTCATTAAGTCCCATGAAACCCATTTAACATGAGTAGTGATCAAGGCTGATATATATGACTAAAAGAGAATCTGAATGATAAACTGAACGACCCAAGCACGCAATGAAACCAGAAGATACGGAGGCACGCAAGATGAACGGTCAAAGCTGAATGAGATCCCAACCATGAGAACCCACGCCAGACCTGTCGAGGAATATGTAATATGGATGAATTCAAACTAATATGGAGAACGCAAGGTGGCTGGAATTGTTTATAACCTTTTGTATTTGCAAACCACCATCGTAGGCGAGCCGCCGACGTTTGAACTGAAATGTCTGAGGACCCTATCCCCAGGACATAAGAAATACATGCAAGAAAGACTGAGAAAGACTGAGAGCCCTCCAAGAAGCCGCAGGCCCACGCACCACGGACACCAGAATATTCCAGTCTAAGGAAGTCCCAGGAGTGCTCTTCAGCCATACCTCCACCGCCACTTCTCCACGAAGAAATCTCCATCCCACCAGTAATCGGACAAGTACCACACAACCGGGTGAGGCCAGCCCGAATCGGGATCGATCCACGTGTCAAAGTACTCCGTTTTCCACACTTTCGTGTAGACTTCGTCTACTTCGCAGTAGTTCCACATTCCGCCCGAGCCATGGGACCACTTGAGACGCTTCTTGGCAGCAAGCATGACTGGAAGGCAGCGTTTAGCCATCCACTGGAGTTGAAAGTTCCCCAGCCGTACCAGACAGGAGCTCCAGAAAGGATTTGAGGCAAAACGGCTACTGACCCGCAACAAATTCTGTCCAAGGAACTCTACGAACCCTCTCATCGGGACCCCGAACGTTGACATACAGACCATGATAGCCGCTGTCCCGGCAAGCTTTGAAGTATGGGATTTTGCACCAGTCATATGTGAAATGAGGACCACCAAGGCCCGTCGGTATAAGAAGCCGAGCCGGCAACTTGACCACCCTTCGGAATAGTAGCGGGGAGCAGTATGAAAGTGCCTCAAGATCCCGTTTAGATAGGAAGCAGACTTTGCGGTTAGACCTGCAAAGATTCCCCTGAAAGATAACGTAAGGATCCGAAGCCGTGTGATGTAACATACCGAAAGCTTGAGCCCGAGACTGCAGGGGCCGACAGGGGTCAAGTGGAGAGAAGGGGCCCATCCCTCCAAAGCCTAAGGGAGGTGAACAGACGCCGAGGCCCAAGGACTCAGAGGCTTCCTGAGGGGAGGAAAGGATTGTTGCGAAGCCACGGTATCCCTAAGATCGCAGGGACCGAGCGGGTCCCAGATAGAATCGCACAAGTGACATCTCCTGGTGTCAGCCAATCCACTAGGTGGTAGGCAGAGGAAGGGGGAGATCCCAATGGGGTCTCGATTCAGAACCCAAAGGCAAATTCCGTGAGGCGTCAGATGCCCCGGCTCCACTAGTATTGAAGCCTGTTCTCTGAGGCCGCAATTAGGTAAGAGACCCAGACCTCTGAAGATTCTGTAACATTGAATTTGTGCACTTGCATTCCGTGGAACATTGCCACGGCGAACTTCCGAGTATAGGGCGCACATGGGCCACGAAAAAAGCGACGGTCTTTCCCAATCCTAGCAAAGGACCCATGTTGATCGACAAACGTCAAAATTGAACGAATGGAGCAGATGATGGGAGAGATCCCCTGAATTACGTTCCAGAACCGATCTGGGTCAACATACCCCGCTCCCAGCCCAAGCTCCATCAGATCTCCAATAAGCTCAAGCCATCGAGAAGTGTCGGGTTCCCTTTTCCACCGATCGCGGACCATCCTCTGTACATCGGTGACCCGACCAGCGATTAAGCGAAGCTCCTCCATGGATTTAGACGAGGCCCTGGTAGGCTGTCGTTTTTGAAGATACCTGGCCATTTGACCCCATATATTCCACCAAACTGTGTAAATGAAATTCCCAGGGTCCGACCAGCGATTGTCGTAGAACACTGCGCCTTTGTATGACATCGTCTTGATCTGTACAAAAGACATAGAGCGCACTGCGATTCCCACGATCCCAATAAGGTTCTTGCATGCCTCACTTGAGAAGAATTCCTCAAAGAGATTCCATAGCTGCCTGAGAGGTATATCGAATTCACGCCCCTTCTCATACATGTGGAGTGTGACGCATTTCTGTGGATTGTATGAACCCAAATTTACAGGAACGATCTCGGAACTTTCAATTGCCAGTGCACGTGAGCAGACGGATGCCCATGCCTCGAAGACACAACACTGGAGAGATTTTGAATTCCATGGCCTGACGACCCTCTGAGGGGCAAGCATGAGAGTGTGTTCCCAGATAACTTGAGAAGAGGTTGAAGCAAAACGAGGTAAGGCGGATTGAACCAAAATGACTACAGAAAAGCACCAGGACACCAAGACAATCGACAGATGGAGATCCAGGAGATGGGGAGACAGGGGTGAGAGGTACACTTTATCAGGGATCGGACGGCAGTCATCGTCCTGGCCAACGTAGTGAGATTAACAATCCCAGGCCAAACCCATTTTGAACTGAAGTAAAGAAGCAAACTAAGCGCAAAACAACCCCAAGTTGAAACTTGTCACGTCGAGGCTGTGGGAAAAGAGCAAGAACCGACCCCACTACTTTGGCCCCGACAATCGGATTGAGAAGAGCATGATGTAATCCCAGCTCATGAGAAATGACCTGAAGGCCCAATGAAATGAAGCACTTGTAATCCCAGATATTCCCAGATTGAACCAAGAGTCACCGTCCTGGCCAACGTAGTGAGATTAACAATCCCAGGCCAGACCCATTTAGAACTGAAGTGTAGAATCAAACTAAGCGCAAAGCAATCCCAAGTTGAAACTTGTCACGTCGAGGCTGTGGGCAAAGAGCAAGAATCGACCCCACTACTTTGGCCCCGACAATCGAATTGAGGAGAACATGATGTAATCCCAGCCCCAGAGAAATGACCTGAGTGCTCAATGAAATGAAGCACTTGTAATCCCAGATATTCCCAGATTGAACCAAGAAATGAGCTGAGGGCCCAATGGAATGAAACACTTGAGCCGTATCTTCGGAACGACCTTGATCACATCAGGAAGCGAGGTTTGCAAAGCAAATGGCACCTTACATTGGCTCCGTTACTCCCAGACTCCACCGTGATAAGATCTCCCACATCTTCAAACATATCCTTAATGAAGAGGAGGGCCACAATGCAGCTGCCAGCAAAGATCTGCGATTTGTCATGGAGCCTCTCCTTCTTTGGGCAGACCTCTGGGCCAATAAAGGCCTCTTTGGTGTAAAAGCGCGCATTGAACAAATGAATGTCCTTGAAACGAAATGTTTGGAGCCCAAAGTGCCAAATAATCTTCGTGACATCCCTGGTAGTGAGGTATCCGTGCTCTCCCAAGACTGGAATACTGTCTGAAACCAAGGGACCTTGATTATCAATGATGAAAGGCGTC